GAGGAGACCCAGGAAGTCCCAACAGGAGGAGGAGACCCAGGAAGTCGCCCAACAGGCGAGGAGGAGACCCAGGAAGTCGCCCAACAGGCCGAGGAGGAGACCCAGGAAGTCGCCAACAGGCCGAGGAGGAGACCCAGGAAGTCGCCCAACAGGCCGAGGAGGAGACCCAGGAAGTCGCCCAACAGGCCGAGGAGGAGACCCAGGAAGTCGCCCAACAGGCCGAGGAGGAGACCCAGGAAGTCGCCCAACAGGCCGAGGAGGAGACCCAGGAAGTCGCCCAACAGGCGAGGAGGAGACCCGCCCAACAGGCCGAGGAGGAGACCCAGGAAGTCGCCCAACAGGCGAGGAGGAGACCCAAGTCCCCCAACAGGCCGAGGAGGAGACCCAGGAAGTCGCCCAACAGGCCGAGGAGGAGACCCCCCAAGGAAGGAGACCCAAGGGCGAGAGGAGACCCAGGAAGTCCCCCAACAGGCCGAGGAGGAGACCCAGGAAGTCGCCCAACAGGCCGAGGAGGAGACCCAGGAAGTCGCCCAACAGGCCGAGGAGGAGACCCAGGAAGTCGCCCAGCCGAGGAGGAGACCAGGAAGTCGCCCAACAGGCCGAGGAGGAGACCCAGGAAGTCGCCCAACAGGCCGAGGAGGAGACCCAGGAAGTCGCCCAACAGGCCGAGGAGGAGACCCAGGAAGTCCCCAACAGGCCGGAGGAGACCCAGGAAGTCGCCCAACAGGCCGAGGAGGAGACCCAGGAAGTCGCCAACAGGCCGAGAGGAGACCCAGGAAGTCAACAGGCCGAGGAGGAGACCCAGGAAGTCGCCCAACAGGCCGAGAGGAGACCCAAAGTCGCCCAACAGCCGAGGAGGAGACCCAGGAAGTCGCCCAACAGGCCGAGGAGGAGACCCAGGAAGTCGCCCAACAGGCCGAGGAGGAGACCCAGGAAGTCGCCCAACAGGCCGAGGAGGAGACCCAGGAAGTCGCCCAACAGGCCGAGGAGGAGACCTAGGAAGTCGTCCTACGTAGGGAGGTGAACTCAATTCTGCATGACCTCGAAGAACTGTCTAGACTCCAAGAGGAGAAGCTAGGTCAGTTAAGAAGTGTCATGCAGAAATTGTTTCACCTCACAGGATGACACAGGTCAGCTCCCCCTCCCTCCCCCTTCCCTCACAGCGGGAAGCGCGCGTTAGTTGCCCGCTTCTCCGCGATTTATCTCATACTTATAATAACATAATATATAATATATTTATTCTATCTTTATTACTGATTTGTTCCGCAATGTCGAAGTGCGAAATGACATATATATATATATATATATATATATATATATATATATATATATATATATATATATATATATATATATATATATATATATATAGAGAGAGAGAGAGAGAGAGAGAGAGAGAGAGAGAGAGAGAGAGAGAGAGAGAGACAGACAAACAGAGGACCTCTATTTCACACGTTAATAAAAAAGATTTTTTTATTTAATCATATTACTGAAAAATTTTCTTATCTTTCGTATAACGGCCATTCATATCAGAAACTGTTATCAAGCATTCTCTCTCTCTCTCTCTCTCTCTCTCTCTCTCTCTCCTCTCTCTCTCTCTCTCTCTCTCTCTCTCTCTCTCTCTCTCTCTCTCTCTCTCTCTCTCTCTGAAGAATCCGCGACGGAGACTCAGGCAACGGCGTCCAGGAAGTCAAGCAGGGGTCATGAAATCATCATCATCATCATCATCTTATCATGATCATCATCATCATCACCATCATCATTCCTTTATTTCTGTTACTTTATTTCAAAATTCTTTATTCTTTATTATGTAACACCTTATTATGTATGTTATTAATAACATGAACAAAGATTATTTGTTTTCATAATGATATTAAAGAACAATAATAATCCAAAAACAACGTCTCTCCATCGCCGTGTCCGAAGCCGTGGCCGCGTGTCCGAGGATCGCCATGACCGCGGAGAGAGATTCCTTCAGGCTGGCTTCTGAGGGCCTCGAGTTCCTCTTGGGATTCTGCGTACTTTGGGCAAATGTGCTTATATGTGCAAAAGAGAAAACAATACGAAAACAAAAACAGCCTCCCAAAAATAAATAAACAAAAAGAATAATGAAGAGCTCTAAACAACAAAGAGAATTCAAAACGGGGCGCCATAAGCGTCAAGTGGAAGTGACGAACGCAGGGAACCTTGCCTGCCCCTCCTCCTTCTCCTCCTCCTTACCTTCCCTTCTCACTGCTAAACTTCCGCCCTCCCTCCTCTTATCTTCCGAACTTTCGGACCTGCCCCAGCCTCGCCGTGGGAGTCTTGCGTGGATTAAACTGTTTTACGATCAAGTTTATGTGAGAAAACGAAATTTGGAGTCTCCTGAAATTTGAGCCTAACCTAACACCTAACGATATTTCGACACCCTGAAATATTTAACTTTTCTGGTCATTTTATTCTAAAATTGCAATTGATTTCTGTCTAAAAGATATGAAAGAAAATGAGAGAAAATGAAAGAAAATGAGAGAAATGAAAAGAAAAATGAAAGAAAATGAGAGAAAAGGAAAAGAAAAATGAAAGAAAATGAGAGAAAATGAAAGATGATGGATGGTGCTCTTTCTCCTTCCTTCCTCTTCTACTCTTCCCTCCTCCCTGTTTGCCGTTCTGGCGAGAAGGGGAGGGGTCGACGAGAAAGAGGGATATGACGAGCCTCCTGGTCGACTCCCCCCCCCCCTCGCCGATGGTTACGAGGAGCTCGCTTCGCCATCTCGTTGCGAGTCTGCTGCTAGATCCGAGACCCGTGTCCTCCGAGGAGCGCGTTGCAGTTTGACTCGAGATGGAGCTTAAAAAACTGGGTTTAGATGATGAGAGGAGAAAGATAAAGGATTTTAAAACAATGTAGAACAAGGGATTTCGAGGACTAATGAGGCTGATATGGCATTGAAAAATACAGAAAAAACAAGAGAGGGATGATTAATGTAACAACAGCGTCAGCCTGTAAACGACAGTCGGTGATTTTCATTATCTTTAGCCAAGCTCTATTATAACTTTATCCTGAATGCTTTTGGTCCAAGAGAGCTCAGGTGCTGCCGGAACCATTAGCAAGTAAACTAGAGAGAGGAGGAAGAGGAGGAAAAGAAAAAAANTAGTAAATTAATTCATAGCAGGTTAACGGAAACTCCGGGTCAGTATAATATTTCATTCGCATAGCAGGCTTAACGAAAACCTCCAGGGTCAGTAATAGCAGGCTTAACGAAAACCTCCGGGGTCAGTAATAATATTTCATTCGCATAGCAGGCTTAACCAAAACCTCCGGGGTCAGTAATAATAATAGAATTTCACGCAACTATTTTCACGAAATAAACAAAGCTCGCGGGTGAGCAACACAGACGGACTGTGCGACCTTGAAATTGCCATCGGGGGGGTCACGTTTTTTATTCATTCCTTCACCCCGACGTCTCCTTTTCTCGATCATGAAGTATCCTCGATCGTGAACTATTTTCATTTTTTTAGGTTTTTTAGTCATAGCCTTTTTAATTATTTATACACACATACGCTCAAACAAGTACACGCGGGCCCCTTAGGAATCTGATGGAACCTCGCACACAAATGTAATCACAATCACGTAAAGACGCAAAACCATCTACACAGCAATCATACACACTAACAAACGGCTATGATGTTCGCACAACAGCCAGGTTCTCTGTCTCTGTCTCTGTCTCTCTCTCCTCTCCTCTCTCTCTCTCTCTCTCTCTCTCTCTCTCTCTTCTCTCTCTCTCTCTCTCTCTCTATCTATCTATCTATCTATCTATCTACTATCTCTCTTTCTCTCCACCCCTCTCTCTCTCTTTCTCTTTTCTTCTCTTCCCTTCTCTTCTCTTCTCGCTTTCACTTAAGAGCCATGATATACTTCTTTACCAAAAGCTTCTTGGGGTTCCCTGATTGATAAGCAAATTAGCATGGTAAAATTATTTTAGAATATAAAGATTCTATTGTTTTACTTGCCTTGCACTAATAAAAGAAGCCGTCGGCCGGGGAACCGAAGCCGCCGGCGCCAAAGCAGAGGGCCGTGGCGAAAGGCCCTCTCGCTCGCAACGGGTCATACGTTACAGAGATGGTTCCTGTTCCAAACCACAGTTCCTTTCACTCGTTCTAGGGCCACCCGACGTGTGCCCCGTCTATAATCTCACTGATCTGAATCCGGAGACGGTACTTAAATACATGGCCGACTTGATAGCGGAAGCCTACATGCACCCTCTCCTCGCGCCCAAAAACGCCGACATCACGATCCTCGCGACGTACACGGTGACCAATACGACCATAATAGACGTATATCCTCCCGTGGTCGCCGCCGAGGTTAACGTTACGATCGTCGACGCGGAGGTCGAGGACGACGGGGAAGCTACAACCGAGGAGGTCAGGCAAGAAATAGACGGGAGGTCACGACGCGCCCGAAGGTCAGAAGAACGGGAAGGGGAGGCCACGGCCGACGAGGTCAGGAAGAACCGGAACACGACCGACGAGGTCATCACGACTGACGAGGTCATGGAAGAACCACGGACGAGGTCATGGAAGAACCGGAAGGGGAGGTCACGACTGACGAGGTCATGGAAGAACCGGAAGGGGAGGCACGACGCGAGGTCAGAAGAACCGAAGGGGAACGGCCGACGAGGTCAAGGAAGAACGGAAGGGAGGTCACGACGACGAGGTCAGGGAAGAACCGGAAGGGGAGGTCACGACGCGAGGTCACGGAAGGCACGACGACGAGGTCAGGGAAGAACCGAAGGGGAGGTCACGACCGCGAGGTCAGGAAAGGACGGGAAGGGCACGACCGACGAGGTCAGGGAAGAACGGAAGGGAGGTCACGACCGACGAGGTGGGAAGAACCGGAAGGGGAGGTCAGACCGACGAGGTCAGGGAAGAACCGGAAGGGGAGGTCACGACCGACGAGGTCAGGGAAGAACCGGAAGGGGAGGTCACGACCGGAGGTCAGGGAAGAACCGGAAGGGGAGGTTGGTCAGGGAAAAAATGGACGGGAAGGGCACGACCGACGAGGTCATGGAAGAACCGGAAGGGGAGGTCACGACCGACGAGGTCAGGGAAGAACCGGAAGGGGAGGTCACGACCGGAGGTCAGGGAAGAACCGGAAGGGGAGGTCACGACCGACGAGGTCAGGGAAGAACCGGAAGGGAGGTCACGACTGACGAGGTCATGGAAGAACCGGAAGGGGAGGCCACGGCCGCGGAGGTCAAGGAAGAACCGGAAGGGGAGGTCACGACCAACGAGGTCAGGGAAGAACCGGAAGGGGAGGCCCGGCGAGGTCAGGAAGAACCGGAAGGGGGAGGTCACGAGACCGGAAGGGGAGGTCACGACCGACGAGGTCATGGAAGAACCGGAAGGAAGGCACGGAGGTCAGGGAAGAACCGAAGGGAAGGGGAGGTCACGACCGCGAGGTCATGGAAGAACGGAAGGTCAGAAAAAATGGACGGAAGGGCACGACCGACGAGGTCAGGTCCGGAGGTCAGGAAGAACCGGAAGGGGAGGTCACGACGACGAGGTCAGGGAAGAACCGGAAGGGGAGGTCACGACCGACGAGGTCAGGGAAGAACCGGAAGGGGAGGTCAGGGAAGAACCGGAAGGGGAGGCCACGGCCGCGGAAGGGGAGGTCGCTCAAGAGCCCGAAAAGGAGACCCAGGAAGTCGCCCAACAGGCCGAGGAGGAGACCCAGGAAGTCGCCCAACAGGCCGAGGAGGGAGACCAGAAGTCCCCGAGGAGGAGACCAGGAAGTCGCCCAACAGGCCGAGGAGACCCAGGAAGTCCCCAACAGGCCGAGGAGACCCAGGAAGTCGCCCAACAGGCCGAGGAGGAGACCCAGGAAGTCGCCCAACAGGCCGAGGAGGAGACCCAGGAAGTCGCCCAACAGGCCGAGGCCGAGACCCAGGAAGTCCCCCAACAGGCCGAGACCCAGGAAGTCGCCCAACAGGCCGAGGAGACCCAGGAAGTCGCCAACAGGCCGAGGAGACCCAGGAAGTCGCCCAACAGCCGAGGAGGAGACCCAGAAGTCGCCCCAACAGGCCGAGGAGGAGACCCAGGAAGTCGCCCACAGGCCGAGGCCCGGAGGAGACCCCAGGAAGTCGCCCAACAGGCCGATGAGGAGACCCAGGAAGCCGCCCAACAGGCCGAGGAGGAGACCCAGGAAGTCGCCCAACAGCCCGAGGAGGAGACCCAGGAAGTCGCCCAACAGCCCGAGGAGGAGACCGGAGGATCCCAACAGGCCGAGAGACCAGGAAGTCGCCCAACAGGCCGAGGAGACCCAGGAAGTCGCCAACAGGAAGACCAGGAAGTCGCCCAACAGGCCGAGGAGGAGACCCAGGAAGTCAACAGGCCGAGGAGGAGACCCAGGAAGTCGCCCAACAGGCCGAGCCCAGGAAGACCCAGGAAGTCGCCCAACCGAGGAGGAGACCCGCCCTGATCGCCCAACAGGCCGATGAGGAGACCCAGGAAGTCGCCCAACAGCCGATGAGGAGACCCAGGAAGTCGCCCAACAGGCCGAGGAGGAGACCCAGGAAGTCGCCCAACAGGCCGAGGAGGAGACCCAGGAAGTCGCCCAAGGCCGAGGAGACCCCAGGAAGTCGCCCAACAGGCCGAGGAGGAGACCCAGGAAGTCGCCCAAGGCCGAGGAGGAGACCAGGAAGTCCCCAGGAAGTCGCCCAACAGGCCGAGGAGGAGACCCAGGAAGTCGCCCAACAGGCCGAGGAGGAGACCCAGGAAGTCGCCAACAGGCCGAGAGGAGACCCAGGAAGTCGCCCAACAGGCCCCCGCCCAACAGGCCGAGAGGAGACCCAGGAAGTCGCCCAACAGGCCGAGGAGGAGACCCAGGAAGTCGCCCAACAGGCCGAGAGGAGACCAGGAAGTCGCCCACAGGCCGAGAGGAGACCAGGAAGTCGCCCAACAGGCCGAGAGGAGACCCAGGAAGTCGCCCAACAGGCGAGGAGGAGACCAGGAAGTCGCCCAACCGAGAGGAGACCCAGGAAGTCGCCAACAGGCCGACCAGGAAGAACAGGCCGAGAGGAGACCCAGGAAGTCGCCCAACAGGCCGAGGAGGAGACCCAGGAAGTCGCCCAACAGGCCGAGGAGGAGACCCAGGAAGCCGCCCAACAGGCCGAGGAGGAGACCCAGGAAGTCGCCAACAGGCCGAGGAGAGACCCAGGAAGTCGCCCAACAGGCCGAGGAGGAGACCAGGAAGTCGCCCAACAGGCCGAGGAGGAGACCCAGGAAGTCGCCCAACAGGCCGAGGAGGAGACCCAGGAAGTCGCCCAACAGGCGAGGAGACCCAGGAAGTCGCCCAAGTCGCCAACAGGGGAGGAGACCCAGGAAGTCGCCCAACAGGCCCCAGAAGAGGAGGAAGTCGCCATCCCCGAGGAGGAGACCCAGGAAGTCCCCAACAGGCGAGGAGGAGACCCAGGAAGTCGCCCAACAGGCCGAGGAGAGACCCAGGAAGTCGCCCAACAGGCCGAG